TCGATGGGCTGAATTGCAAAAAACGCATGATCGCACCGGCTAGCCTGGTGCGCGTTGCCATTTATTGTAGTTCACGAGATAATAATTTCCTTGCCAAAAATTTCACGAGGCCGTACGTATATTCAGGGGCACGTGAAGACTGAACCAAATTTGCGGGGGTCGCACACTGGCAGGGAACATTGGCCTAAAATTTCAGGCTCCAAACATTCGTGGTCCCCAAGTCAATAATTTTCCCCGCCAAAACTTTCACGAGGCCGCAGATGACACCCGAGAACACGAGAACGCTGAATTTGAATCTGCAAGATCCTACCTAGACAGGGGTCACTACCCTAAATCCCCGGCTCCGAAGATCCCGTGATTCTCGAGATAATAATTTACCCGCCAAAGTTTCCACAGGGTCACAGCTGATACCAAAGAGATCATTACCCTAAAAAAAAATTTCAGCTTCCTAGATCGCGCGGTTCCCAATATAATAATCTCCTTGTCAAAAGTATTTACGGGACTGCACGTATTATCTGCAGGGAGGAGGAGGCTGAATTTAAATTTTCCGGGTCGCGCGTCAGCAGGAGACTTGCCCACAAAATTTCAGCCTTTTAGCTTCAGTGGTTCTTGTAGTAACAATTTCACCCGCCAAAAATTCTACGGGGCCGTACGTGTTACCCGCGGGTACGGGGAGGCTGAATTTAAATATGTTGGGTTACACGTGCGTAGGGGAAACATTACCCTAAATTTTCAGCTTCCTGGCTTTCATGGTTCTTGAGTTGAAGCTGCGGACACACCCACAAACACACATACACACAGACAAACCCGTAACAATACGCATTTTGCACTGCTGTTGCACAGCAAAAAACGCATGAAAAACAGGTATCAGCAGCGACAGAACCACAACTGTGCGCGAAATCGTGATTTTCTTTGCTCTGTAAAAAATTATTAGTAAAATTTATGGAAAATCCACCAACTGTAACTAGCCGGCCTTCCTCCCTAGAGAGATCGCTCAGATTCGCACAAAAGCAACACGAAGTAGTAAATCTCCGGAAAGATACATTTTATGGCCAATTTTCAATTTTGGCGCAAAGTAATACATATCAAAGCACTGTTTCTTTTGAGATGTTTATCGGTTCACGAGTTACAACCAAAACAGAATACACAGTAAACTCACCCCAAAAAACCGTTAAAACCTCTTTACATTACGCAAAAATTTGCTTTTCAAATATATGCTGTGATTCGCCAAAACATGCAATCCATCCCTTTTCCGTGTAATGAAAATCTCTCGATCTCCTCCTCCCTCGCCCATAATCTCATCAAAAATTTTGAAACCTGCTGTAGTACAGTTGCAGAAGGAAGGAGCTTCTATAATCAGAAAAACTGTTTTTGCAATAAACAATAAAAAGCACCTATAAAAAAGAAATGAAAGACTTGATTCATACCATACATAGTGGATTAGCTTAAAATACATTGAGGAAGGGACTCAAATAAAAATAAATAGCAACGCGCACCAGACTAGCCGGTGCGATCATGCGTTGTACAATTCGTCTACCAGACGATTGCCTGTTAATGATTTTCACTACTTATACTTTAGTCTATGCAAAAGTAATTGAAACGTTGAAAAATAGTTAAAAACTTCACGCACCGACACATGAAATCTCACGCATTGGCACTGGAGCAAAACTGCAGCTTTCTGGCTTTATGTTTCCTGAGATAATAATTTCCCCCACCAACATTTTCACCGGGCCGTAGCAGATACTGAGAGGGAGAGGATGCAAAATTTGAATTTGCAAGGTCGTACGTGGGTAGGGGTTACTGTCCTAAGATTTCAGCTCCCTAGCTTCTGTGGTTCCCGAGATACAGATTTTGCCCGCCAAAAGTTTTATCGGGCCGCATATGTCGCCCGTAAACACAGGAAAGGTGAATTTGAGTTTTCTGGGTCGTACGTGGTCAGGGGACATACCCATAAAGCTTCAGCTTCGTAGCTCGTGCTTCCCAAGAAATGATTTTGCCCGAAAAAACTTTTATGGGGCCGTACGTGTTACCCGCAGGTACAGGAATGTTGAATTTAAATTTGCCGTGTCATCTATTGGCGGGGAACACTATACTGAAATTTCAGCCGCCTAGCTTTCGTGGTTCCCAAATTAAAAGTGCGGGACAACCCCGCGACAATATGCGTTTTGTACTGCTGTTACACATCACAAAACGCATAATGAAGCAGCTGTCCTCCTCGCCGCTAGAATTTCGTTCTTTCAAAGACAAGTGCACCTGGGAATTAAGAAGGGCAAAAGATGACCAGGAAAAGTTGGCCAACGGTGACTTCTCTTTCATGTTCGAATGCAACAGAATGAAGAAAGAACCAAATTTTGATAAATTTGAGCTATAAAAGCACGAAAACCAGCTGATTAACAATACTGGAATGGCAGTCGTCATCCAGAACCACTAGATTTGGGTACCACTAGAGAGTCGGCTCATTCTCCTTGTTCTTACTGTCTCTTTCAGTTTTTCCTAGTTCACTTCCCATCCCTCCTGTTTTTTTCTAAAATATTATTACAATCATGAGAATAATATACAACAATTACAAACTATATACAACCTTTGTTAAAATTCCACAAACAATATGAATTACCATTGGAAAAAAAGAGAGATCCAGAAGCTAAGCTTCACCGAACTTAAGAAAAAAGCATGTCATAGGGAATCAGCCTAGGGCAGGCCAACTTCCTCGAAGTACATTTTCCTCAGATCGACAACTTCGCTTTTTAAAATTATATCCACAAGCCAATTCCACATGAGGGAATGCCCCCTTCCCCCCACCCCCCTACTCCAGCTTCTCTTGAACCAATAGTTCTTCGGCATTTTTACAATCAATTTTTCAGGGGCACTATTAAAGCTGCACATGGACAATCGACCTCACTTCCGGATTTAGTGGTATTATCCCCAGCTACACGTTTGCCGCTACTACTACGCAAGTAAGCCATTATTTTCGGAGACTACCACACGGAATAGCTAAATAATTTCACTAGACGAACGTATACTCTCCTCGTCGGCCTTAGCAAAGGACAAATTTGTTAAAAATGATAGGCGAAAATGCAAAAAAATTCACTTAAAACGGGGAGAGAGCGGTGCGAATCTGGTCTAAGTGGCGTTAAAATAAGCTAAGATATCCTAAATAATATCAATAGGCAAACAAATAGTCAAAAATATCGATTTGTCTGCGGGGTATAATGCACGGGGCAGTAGCACTGTTTTCACGCAAATAGGTTGAAAGTTCGATTTTGGTGGTGGAACAATCAATCCCCTTCGATTTGTTCATTCATTTTTTTGATAAACTGGCACCGATATATGCAAGGAAATCAAAAATGCCATCATCAGCTTGCTTGTAAGTAACCCTCAAAAGAGAGAGCCATCAGAAGGAGTTCTGTCAGCGATGGATGGTTGCTGTTGGCATTTGCTACCACTTGGGCTACTTTTTGAGTGCTTTCGTCTCTCACATAGAGATCATATACGGAAAAGATTTCCGTTTTAAAGCACCAATATAAAAAAAAAATGCAGCGCAAGATAGAAAGAGATGCTATCCTGTGCAAATGTACAGCTGGTTTTGTCGTATTAAGCTAAGCCTGCCACAGTTGTTGCTATTTTGATTCGAGTTGTTGCGATAGCCTTGAGTTATCGAGCCAATTCTGTATTTCTGCCTTCACCATGGCCCTAGCATTTTCGGGGAGGGCAAGCATATCGGCCGTAACACTCAGTGCAAATGCTTTATCACCATCAATTGCACTCATATCTTGTTGTTCCAGTGATAAATTCCCAGCAACCAATGACGTCCTTTGTTCATTTTGAGCACTATATACACCTCCTGAAAATGACTATTTTTGAACTATTACTGCAGAGGTTTACAGTAACGATCTTATTTTTGTTTACTTTCAAATTCATGACGGTTTTTTGTATACGACTTAATGGACCGAAACATTCCAGCTCATCAATTTTTATGTTTTTTGCACATATACAATGCAGAAACGCATACTATCAAGTGTTTGCTTGTGTGTGTGTGTGTGTTCGTCTGTACCGATTTTTCATCTCGAGACTTACAAAAGCTACAGGACCGAAACTCTGGGAAATTAATCTACATGCAAGTACGGGCCTCATCCTCAAAATGGGCGCTCCAACTCACGTAG